GCCGGGGTCCAGAGGAGCCAAGGCAGCCTGACTGACCGAGTTGGCTCTGGCTCTGCAGCGCTGCCATGGCCATGTGGGAGGTGATGATCTCCATGCCCTGGGATTTATGGACCATCTTGCTGGAGCTGGTCAGTGTGCTGGAGGACTGCCGGGAGCGCAGGGTGTTCAGCTCTGCCGTGGATGACACCTGCATCTACCCCTTGGCTGTGAGTGACCCACACCCAGCCCCACCGCTCTGCCTTCCTCCTCCTCCTCCTTCCCCTGCTCAGCACCAGCCAGACCCCCGTGCCACATGCTTGGGCCCACCACATGCCGGTTTGGCCCCACCAAGCCTGTCCCAGCACAGGCAGCACTCTGCCCTCCCCCCTGCCTGCATCCCCCTGCCCAGCTCCGCAGCCTGGAGACCCCGGGAAGGGGCAGAAACCAGAGTCAAGGCGGTTGCTGGTCCTGGGTCAGAGACGTGGGGACTCGGAAGTGGTTTCAGGGGGAGAGGAGACATTTGCCATGGACCGTGCTGGTGGGGAGGAGGGAGCTCTGCAGCTCTGCTGGTCTCTCACCACTGTCTCCGTTTTAGCTCCTGGTCTGCACTGACATTGATGACAAGGACTTTGCTGCCCTCTACAATGTGGAGAGGTTCCTGAGGCATCCCAACCCGGTGATGCTCTCGCTGGTGCTCTCGAGCCTCATCACACTTTCAAAAACACCCAAAACGGTGAGCGGGGGGTTGGCAAGGGGAGACACATTGGTATCCGGGGCCTGGGGAATGCGGTGGCTTAGCCCCGTCCGGGAGGATGGGGGGTGATGGCTCCAAGCACCCTCCCTGCTCTAGAGGGGGCTGGGGGGTGCCTGGGGGGGGTCTTTCACTGCTTCGCAAGAAGGTGACTGGTGTGTTCCGTACAGGCAATGAAAATGCTGGTGCTGCTGCCCGACATCATGGAGAACCTGCTGGCAGCCAACGCTGATGTCAGGATGAAGGCCCTGATGCTCTTCATCAACATGATGGGTCACATGAAGAGGGAAGAGGCCAACCTCATCTCTCTGAGGGTTGCAGAGAAGCTCCTGCCCCTCTTTGATGATGTAAGTCTGCCATGGGAGCCTGAGCAGAGGCGATGGGTGAAAGATGGCTGCCCTTCAGTGCGGCCATGTGGGAAGCATTTGGGTAGGGTCCCCCCCTTGCTCCTCTTGTGTAGCCTTTTGGGGGTCTTCTCCTCCCCGCTCCTCTTCCGGGGCCTTTCAGTGCTCTGGGGCCGTTATGCTGCAGCTGCAGGTCTGGCCGATGGCTCCTGGTTCAGGATCTGATCCCGGAGCAGCTCCTCTCCCCCAGCCACGCTAACGCCCCTGCTCCCCATGGGCGAGGAGCAGATGGTGCTGAGCTGCCTCTGTCCTCTTCCCTGCCAGGAGTGCAGCCAGGTGCGGGAGCTCTCCATCCGCCTCTTCAAAGACGTGTTGAAGACCACGGTGGGGAGAAACAAGAGAAAAATTGTGAAGACAGCACAGAGTGTCCTGGTCCCACTGTTATTCCATATGAGCGACCAGGTGGAGAGCGTGGCCAAGGTGCAGTGACAGAGATTGGTGTCACGGGAGGAGCGTGCTGACACCACGGGGGTGGCCTGGGCGTGAGGGACAATGGGAATGAGTGTCACCGCGGGGTCCCGCTGCACTGGTCCCAGTGCTGCAGAGCTGGAGGGGGAGGTGGGGTCCCCCCAGCCCACAGGAAGGGTCCCTGCAGCCCCAGCACGAGCAGGGCCAGAGAACCTGGCACAGACAGTTCCCTGCTCAGTCGGGGCCAGCTCCCAGAGTGCGGGATGGCCCCAGGAATGAAGGGGGTTCCAATCCCAGGATCACCCCGTGCCCCCAGCTCAAAGCCAGGCCCAGAACAGGAGGATGCCAGGTCTCCTTCCCTGGGCTCTGGTGCCATCTCCCAGCATCTGCTTCTCCGCAGGCTTCCCGGGACACCCTCAGCACCTGTGGAGAGTTCCTGGGCTGGAGGAGGCTCAGCTCCACGACCAAGACATGGCAGACAGACCTGATTGGACAGTGCTTGGTGAGGACACCCCCCAAACCACCGAGGCGGGCTGGACAGGGGCTGCAGCCGTGCCAGGGGGGGCTGTGCCGCTCTGCATCGCTGCCCTGCTCCAGCCCCACTGTTCCAACTGCACGCTCCTTCCCTGCCCTCTAGCATGCAGCCCCCAAAGGCTCTTCTCCAGGAGAGCCCGACCCAGCTGGGCCCTGGCAGTGGGACGGAGGGGTCTCAGCACCCCCAGCCCCCTCTGCCTGCGGCTCTCTCTGGCCCTCAGCCCCACGGGGCTCCTGGCTGGGAGACGGGAGTCACTGGGAGGGAGCGGGGGTGCTGGCAGGAGGGACTGGTCCGGATGGCTGCAGAGG